ATGCTTTGCATGTTGCAAACAATTTTCCAGGGCAGCAACTGCGACAGCAAAGCGGCAAAATGTTCGTGCGACTAATTTGTGAGAAAAAAAAAAGAAAAATAAAGGAAGCAAGGAAAAACAACAACGGCAACTGGCACGAGACGTTAAAATCAACGGTCCGTGTCCATTAAAACGGGGCCAGAAAGCAGAAAAAAAGCCAACTCTCTGCGTTCCTGTTAATGAGAAATAATCACAAAAACACAAAAAAAAAAGGAAACATGGCAAAAGTTGAACAACAGCGAACAAAAAATACGGACAAACAGCAGCTCCCCCTTAATGCCCCTTGTGAACCAGTTGGATATACGCAAATACCCAGGCATAACATGTACATATATATGTATATGTATATATACCTATATAAACCCGTATAAGGGGGCAACCTTCTGCGACAATCGGTAAACACACAAAGCTAATAAAAAACTGTAAAATATTCAACAATTGGCAAAGCTTTTAAGAGTCCTGCAGACGCCCCCACTGTTATTGAAATGTAAACCTCGCAATTTTCTTTCTCCCCGGCAGTCAGCGCCAAAAAATATGCTACCCATAATGCCGCAGAAGGAAAATGGAAGTGGGAGGAGAAGGGGAAGTGATATAAAAGTGTGGGCGGAGACAAATAAGTGGCGCACGTTGAGTAAAAAACGAATTGAAGGAGGAGAAGCCACCAGGAAGAAAGGAATTCGTTTAGGGTTTTATATAAGAATCATTATTTTTTTTGTGGATTTAAAACGTTTAAGGATCCTTGAATAAGGGATTTTCCAGTGAATTAATTTGATTTAAGGTAATAATAATAAATCAAATATTAAAGTGCTAGCAAAAACCTGCACACGTAGGCAGGATATTGATAGTTTCCTTAAATATGCCTTTACCATCAATCACAGCAACACCACCTTTACCCAAGCTACTCCACCTCGTCTATTATCCATTCTATTTATGAAGGACGCACCGCTGTAGACTCCTTTATAAATAGCCTCCTTCAAGGATCTGCCCAGGATTGTGGCCATAAATTACGCACCAAGAATATTACTCCCGCACTTTTGTCTTACGTACACGTACACAAAGAACACAACCGGCTTTGGCTTGGGCTAATTCCGTGCTTTTATAATGAGCATAAAGGATAACCACAACAAAGGAACAAGGCAGCAGCTTACAGACTACGCATAATATTATGATCTAAACACAAAATTACAAATTAATTGAAATGAATGGGATGCACAAACTTTTTGTGTTGTAGCAAAAATGCTAAAACCGGGGAAAACAAACTAACACAACAAAACGTAAACATTTCAATTATGTCGCTTCTGCGGCAAAAACTTTTTCGTTTTCGTTTTTTTTTTTTTTATTCGTGCTAATTAAGCTCAATGGGTGCTCTGAGTGGAGAGACTCCGCCAGTAATTAGCCGGCAAAAGTCTAAACAAAGCCAGAAACTTGAAAACAAATGAGCCAAGGAAAACCGAAGGCAGCAGCGGGTGAGCCGAATGGCGGCGGGAAGAACAATGGCAGCAGGCCATTTCCGGTGCGCTCATGTGTGCTGTCGTTCCCAGCGCCAGGGGGCGCTCGAGTGTCTCTCACTTCCTTTCGTAGCCCTCCTCACTCTTTTAGGGGTAAATAGTAGATAGCAAAGGGTGTGTTGTTTTTTTAACAAATAAATATATTAATTTTTCATCAGCAACAACAACCCACTCGATCTAGACAACTTTATTTTGGGGAGACCATTTTAGTTAGCAAATATACGTAGATTTTAAGATCAATTTCGGGGAATACACGATATTTTCCAATATAAAAATTTGAATTTGTTCTAAAATATAATTAAAAAACGATTTAAAAATGTTTTACTATTTAAAATCTAGGTCTGGATTGGGGTGTATATCGAAAAAATACGCCTGATTTGATATGCTGATAACATATCACTTTCAATATTTTATTTAAAATAATTTAAATTTTCATATATCAAATAAGAATTATAAATAATGAAATATATAAACCTTTTTAAATTGAAAATTATCGTATTATAGCATAAAATATCGATATTATCGATAATATAATACAACTAAAAATGACTCCGATTATTTCTATCAGATAATTCAAATAGACTATCGATTTATCGCGCTTACTTATATTAATGTATCCATTTAATATTTTTAAAATTAAAAAAAAAAATGAAATTATTTAAGATGAAAATTAATATCCATAAAAATCGAAATCTATAAAATTTTACAAGAATTCCTTTGGTTATAACATGATATAGTATTATATATTATAAAGTATATTTATATATATTCACACCAGGTACCTCATAGTCGAGTCACTCAACATCTTCCCCATCGCCCCATTGTGTTGTCGTTTGCAGCAACAGTTTGTTGCTTTGTTTGACTGCTTGTTTGCCAAGACTACGACACGCTTATAAATTTTTAATTAAATTGTTGTTTTCTAGTTTGTCGCCGTTGTTTTTGCTGTTATTGTAGAGCTTTATCTAGTCACAGGAAAACGCATAGATTGTCCCCATTTGTGAGTGTATGTGGGTGTGGCCATATCCTTTGTTTGGAAATTGGTTTGCTATAGATTGTGCAATTGCCTGTCCATATTCGATAGCTTCTCCGGGGCAAATTGAGTTGTTTAACTTGCAATTGAACCGAGACCAAGAGATTAAGTGGTGGAAGTCCATAAAGTTCAAGCTTTGCTAAAGGAAAGCGGATTTTTTTCGAGCTTGAAGCTGAAGTAAACTTGGATTGAAGGGATTTGACAAAGAAATAAAGGACCCAACAAATTTTATAATTTAGTTTATAAAAAGTCCAAGAAAAGGATGATCATTTTTCATTATTCAACTCAATAAACCTTCATCAATTGTTAATGTTACTTTCTTAAACTTAACGGTTAGCACGCAAGTAGTTTATCCTACGTACACAAGTCTAGACCATTAATATCCAATTTATTATGTATTCCCTATCAGAGCTTGGAACTCAAATGCTAAAGCCTGAACCCCATTGAGACCATTTACATGTCTGAACATTTTTTTTTTCTTTGCCTATGACAAATTAACTTATTTAGTTGCGGCAGCAGCGGACCTTCATACGAAATAATTTATCAAACTGGTAAATAAATTATTGATGTCCTCGTGTGTGTTTGAGTTGGTATAAGTGCTCAACGCCCACACAATATTTTCCCGAGAAATGAATAAAAATTGTTGTCAGGCGTTGTGGTTGGCGTGTAGGCGTAGTGGCAAATGCCAATCACGGGCATTAAGTCGGACGTAAAGGATCGGAGGTGGATTTTAGGAGCTCCAAGAGAAGGCGAGGCGAGGCTTAATGAGGTGGAGGAGAGTGGTCCGAAGCCATAACTGGAAATCGGGGCCAAATGATAAATGACAGTGCAGTCGAGGCCTCTCAAAATTATCATAATTTTCTTCTTTTAATTGCCCCACGTGCCCCACTGTAACTTAGTTTTAGTACTTGGAAATAATTTTTTTCAAATATTGAAATAATATAACTCATACGCAGTGTTGCTTTTGAATGTTAACTTCAACTTTTCACAGAAAAATCCTGTCTTTTTTTATTTAACAATTTCTAAGCTCAGTAAATCCATTTCTCGCGGTGTAAAAGGAGCAAGGAACCGCTGCCGTCTAACGGTGGTGTTGGCTAGGCTTGTTTGCGTTGGTGTTGGCTGCTCCTGCCTCTGTTTCTGCTCCTGCTCCTTAGGTGCCGTTGCCGTTGCTTCTGCTCACTGCCTGGTGCCGGGTAATTTTGCATGCAAATAACTGGAAATTAGTGTAAGTGCTCACTGACATGCCACACACACACAAAAAGAGAGAGAGCAGCAAAGTTACTACCAGAGCTCCTGGCTGCCTGGCTGCCTAGTTCCTTAGCTCCGTGATCCTTGCACCTCGCTGCTGGAAACCCAAGGAAACCCCAGAGCCAATGGCAGTGCCAGAGATAAACAGACGATGCCAGAATAAAGTGGCAAACGCTTAGCAGCACGGTTGAGCACAGAGAAAAAATAAATAAAAAACTTTATGATGCCTTAATAAAATCTAATAGGTAGCAGATACACCTTATAAAGTGGGAAATACTGATTTTTATTGAAGTTTTAATGGTATTACTAATGTGTATTTAACTTGGTAATTAATATTTAAAATAATATTATCAAATTATATATTTTTTTAATAAAATTAATATTTTTTGAGCAGTGCTTTTGAGTTCCCTGTAAAGTACCACGTGGGCGTTGTATGGCAGCATATCTAAATCGGCTCCTCCTGCTCCTGCCAATGTCCTGGAACATCAGCGCTTTAAAAAAAAAAAAACAAAAAAGAGAACCCATTAAAATGCAATGAGCGCACAAAAACGTTTTATGCCACGAGCTGAACCGAGCTGAGCTTGGATTTAAAATTGCAGTGGGGTTTACTTGCCGAGATGGAATAGAAAAGGAAGTGCCGAGGCGTTGCCATAGAGATGGTATTAGCATAATTATGAAACTTGTCTGCTTTTAAAACCAATTAATTCGTTAAGAGAGTGCAGATATGTTGGTTTTATTTTGATTGGATTAATATAAACTAATTGAGAGGCACGTAAAAATATTTTTGAATATTTGTTCAATTGTTTTAAATTAAAAAAAAAACATTTTATAATAATATTTTAATAATTTTTGAAGTGAAATAATTTTTATCGATAGTTATAGTTAAGGTTTTAGTACATACATTTTTTTATAAATACTTTATAAATTTATGATACTCTAATATATATTTATTTTCAAGTGGCAAGCTTAAATATGTAGTAAAAACTATATATATTTCATATTTTTTAGCCAATTGTCAAGCATAAATATTTAGTAGAAAAACATAGATACATTTGAGAGTATAATTTAGTCGAAACTCTTAAAAATGTATATCCATTTTAGACTTGTTTACTCCTAATGTGTGTCTAATAAGGTTATCGCTCCTTACATCTGGTCAGAACAAATCTCCCATAACTTAGCCAGTTACAGTTAATACCTTTGCGATGGCTAAGCTAATTATATTATATATTTTTCTGTCGCTATTCGTGGCTTCTGGATGGTCGACTTACAAATTCGAAATTGATATAATCAGAAAACTAAACGCAGAACATGCAAACTCTACCAGCTTTGTGATATCTCCTTTTTCAATACACCAGGCACTGGCCATGCTCTACTTGGAAAAGGAGAGTCGCCGGGACTATCAACTGGCCAAGGGCCTTGGTATTACTGGAAAGGGTAGCGAACAGATCATATCCCACTTCGATGAGGCGTATCACAAGCTCATTAAGGAGCAGTTTATATTGGCAAACCATATATTTTACCCAGAGAAATTCAATGTAACGCAACACATGAAGAAAATGAGTGACGAACTCCATGTAGATGTGGCGAAATTAAAATTTTCCAATGCAGGTAACGAAATCACACAATGGATGCAAATAGCAATTCAAGAAGTTAACTCCGACTTGATGTCCAAGACAGCGATTACTGATAAAACTAAGCTCATAGCTGTCCAAGGACTTTTTCTGGAACCCAAGTTGAAGTTTCGTTTTTTGACGTATTTTGAGAAGGCCTTTCCATTAAATATGCCACATTTAGTTGAGACTCATTATAAAATCAAAATGATGTATGGTCAAGGACCGGTTTCATACATCGTCACGGGTCATGTCGATGGCGTGTCGATACCATTTCCTAAAACCAATTTAAAAATGAAAATTTTTATGCCCGCGAGTGGCAATAATCAGGAAGTTCTCGACAATTTAAATGAATATTTGGGTTTGAAAATGCACAAATACAATAAAATGAATTTATTGATGCCCATATTTACAGTGGATAAAACCCTTGATTTAGGTAAAGCCCTCGAGAGTTTTGGTTTCAAGAAAGTTTTTGCTAAAAATGTTGATTTTAAATTAAATACAACGGCTCCCATTTTCAAGCAGCTCAGCGCTCTAAGAGTAAAGTCACACAACATGTGTAAGTCAATTTGAAATCTATAAAAAATTGCGTAATATCAATATACATATTAGGAATTTATCGATAGAAATTTCGTACTTGTTGGCATATTGAAAAAGTCAAGAAAAATTGAAATTTCCAACAAAAATTGTTAAGTTGTTTTTTAATTCAAATAAAAATTAAAGCATACGCGATATTTAATATAATTTATTCATCATTTCATACGATTTAATTAATCAGATTTATCAAAAAAATATCTATTAAAATATTAATTTGTATATCGATTTTTATATAGATTTTTGTGTAAAAAACCGTCATATTCTAAATTTTCTGCAATTATTCTAATAAAAATTCTACGATATCTAAAATAATATCTTCAAAAAAAAATCGATTTATTAATGGTTTTTCATGTCATAAATCGATACATTATACATTATATTATAATCAAATAATTTAACATCAATTCTTTGATATATTAAAATAAAAACCCAATATTCTCTCAGTGCAGACTAATATAATATTTTCACTTTTAGTCCCTTTCGAATATCAGAAGCATGACCACCATAAAGAGTTTGTAATCAAACCACCCTTTGTGTTCGTTATCAAGGACCATAAGCACATTTACATGGCCGGCCGCGTGGATACTATGAAGCCGCGTAGATACTTTTTTAACTGAATTGTAAATTAAATTAACTGAAATAAATTCAAACAAGGAGGCGCACAGAAGTTTCTGTTTATCCCGGCCATTAGCGAAAGTGTGTGTTGTGACAAAGGCGGGGCAAAAATCCCCGATGGCATTGTTTACAACGTTGCCGCGCATATTAATTGCCTGTTTAAGCAAATTGAGGCCACAAAACATCAGCAGCAGCAGCAGCATCATCACCGTGGGTTTGCAGCTCATTCCCCATCGCATTCCCCTTTTTTTTATAATTTTTTTTTGTTGTCTTGTGTCCTTTGTGTGGCTTGGTGTGCCCCTGCTGTGCGCATTCCACAATTACTCGCAATTTGCGGTGGCAACGAAGCCAAATGCTGACAATTGCATCATGGCGACGACCCTCACCTCAGCTCAGCCCCAGCCCAGCCTCCTCCTTGCCGCTCCATTCCAAACTGCAGTTGCATAAATTATAAGACTGGGGCCCAAAATAGGGAAAGCCGACGCTGATTTCCCACGAACCCGCAGCGTTAGGGCATCGACGACAGCTCTGAGTCCTTTTAAGTGCCGCTTTCTCTGCAGGATACCAAAAGTCCTGAAAGCAGCAGGAAGTCTCTTGAGCTGTACATGCAGTGCTGTGATTTTCGATTTTAAGGTAGAATAAATGCAACCGTTCGAGTGCTGCCATGAAATATTAAGTTTCTTGCTTAATCAGCCGAGACTTGGCAATAGAAAGCTAACAAATTGACCTGGAATAACAAATGCGGTTATTTACAAGGCCAAAAAAAAAGTACAAAGCTCTTTAGATTCTTTTAAATATATATAATAAAATATTAAAGTACTTCTATGGCTTCAATATAATTTTTTTAAGCCTTAAGGAAGGACAAAAAGAAGATTTTGAGTCTTGAAACTAATAATTTAAATACAATATATTAATTAAACTATTTTCTTAAATAAACAATTCTTAATAATTATATTTCACATAATTAAATTTCTATATATATTTTTCTGTAATTTCAAATAACTAATTTTAGTAAAATATTCCGCTCTAGTTTTCTGTCTCAATAATTAATTGTCTTCCCAAACCCATTGTGTTCTATTTATTTATTGAGTCAAAATACAGCAATTTGCTATTACCGAGGGCATCAATAAATTATTAAATGCTACTAGTTAACAATCTAAAACTCTGTGGAGAGCAATTAACCCAGATATAATGCCATGCATTCACACCACTTGTAAGTTCTTGAACAACATACATATGCATTGCTCATACGCTCCGTTGGCCGCACAATCACTACAAACTTGCATTATGCCAGAGAGCAGTTTTATGGGTTATAATAAAACTAGGAATTGGGGGAATGGATTTCCCTGGGGGTTCTAAAAATGCAGTGTCCCCATCCTTGGAATTTAGAAATAAAATTTGCTAAACCCAAGAGGTCAGAATGCTGGCAAGAAAAGCAAAGTTTAGATCACTTTTGAAGAAGGAAAATTCATTGATTTATTTGAGAAAGGGAATTCTAGAAAATATTTATGTTTAAAAACTTTCTTATACAGAATTTACCTATAAATATAAATAAGTAAATGGAGCTCTCAGGTACCTTAAGTATTATTTTCTAATTTAAACCTAAGCTCCCTTTTGTATTTTTCTTACTACAATTTTTAGTAATAAATTTCCACCGCAAAATGTAATAACATAGAATTAACCGTGGCCTTACACTAAACGATTGTCCATGGATGGCGACTACAAAGGCAACAAAAAGTTTGTGAGAAAAGTCAAATAACCAACGGAATCGACCAAGTTTGATGGCAAAAAAAAAGTAGAAACAATTACAAGGCACAGACAGCGGATACTCGTGCCAGAATTGTTCGCTTTGTTCTTTGTACTTCAACTTTATCCTTGGCTTTATTCCTTACCCTGCACCCTTCTTATTCTCTCTTTTTTTTTGCACAAAAGTTAAACTCACTTAATTGAATTGAATGCCAAACATCGATGTCGATGATAATGATCATGATAATCATCATGATGGGAATGATGATGGTGATGCAAAGTGCACTCGAGTGCAAGTTATTCAAGGAGCTCTTCTTCTAGCTAGCAATATGGCAAATGGATTCAACTAACAATGCCTTTAGATTATGATCCGCCTGCACTTGGCACTCTCTCGACTGGTAGTAGAGAAAAAGTGGCCAAAAGACGTACTGTATTAGCGTGTCAAAATGACATAAACCAAAATCACATTTTTAGCCCCATTGTTCGTTTGTAGAGACATGTCAGAAAAAGGGCATAAAAACGATAACCGAACAAACGCATAAGAAGTGGCAAATCGTATGAAAGAGGGTATGGTAACTCCCGCCATTAAGTTTAGTATAAAACAGCCTTTATTTACGCATTAGCATTAAATTAATTCAAGCTTTGCCTTTAGTTACTATCTTAGTGCCAAATTTATGGCCATGATATTGAATCTTCCAAGCTTTAAATAATTTTCTTTAACTTCCCAAACAGCCCTCGTCCAACTGTTGACTCTCACCTGGTCAGACGCCTGTCCTTTGTTCCCCTCTTTATTTTTCTCCTCCTTTTTCTTATTGAATTTTCACACGAGACCCAGCCATCGTCTAGTTCACAGACCCCTTCGCTGCCCGCTTCTCCGGATTCAACCCTCACAGCTCATTTAACACATTGACATTTGGCTTATTAACACCGGGGACAACGTGGAGAGGTCAGGCTGGTTGGTTGGTAGCGAGACCAAGGCTGTTTAACTAATGGACTGAGCATTAAATCGAATATGCTCGTTATACACATGACTTTGATAATAATCGATAATGATTTGTGTGCGTAAATCGAGGGGTGAAGTTTCTGTTGCGTGCCACACGGCGTATACTTAATGCGCGTGTTACTCTCCGATTTTAAGGCCAGTGACTTTTGGGAATTATTTGGAAATTAAAATTTGTAAATTAGGGGAATTTGTCGCCCTAAAAAGGCAACATTTTGTGTTAAAAATAAGGCAAAGGATTCAAAAAGGCTTGAAATGGTCTCTACAAGTGGCAAACTTTTGATCAAATTTAAATTTAATATATTTTTGTAAGCTACAAATTGAATAAAAATCTCATAAAATCTAGTATTCTCCCAATAATCTAAATAAACACCCATCACTCATTCACATATGCTTGATGTCCTTTTCCATTACAATTTTTTACGGCCATTGACTTGCATTTGCCTTGTTTTGCCTTCAATTAAAAACTTCTTTTGGCACATTTCAAATGCAAAAAAACTAGAAGCGGTCTGTGGGTTTTCCCAACTTTCCCTTTTTCTCGACAATTTGCGGTGCTCTTTGGCAAAAGTTTTGCCAGTTGCCCTGCATAAAGTCGTCGCATTGTGCGCCACGCATAGAAATTGAGTTGCCCTTATTGTTTCCCCGTTGTTATTGTTGTGGCCACAAAATGGTTGGCGCACAACAACACTTAAGCTTAAGTGACTACTCGAGACTTTTCTTCTTGTTTTTTTTTTTTTTTTTGGTTGAGTGAACGAGAGGAGAAGGGCGAACCTCGTGACTGCGTGACCGGAAAGTGTTTGGCGCTTCCGGTTGCCACAGCCGCCGATGCCACCAAAAGCCACCGCAGCAGCCCAACCCAACCACTGCGGAGCGGAAGTTTTGCCACGTAGACAATAACACCAATACGGCCACAGTGACAAGTACAAGCAGAGAGATAAAATCTTGGCTTAAAAAGATTAAATAAATTAAGAAATATATATATTTTAATAAAATTTAAACTTGTTTAAGTAAATGTTATTATCTTTAAAATTGATTGTGGGAACCATTCTTTGAAATTCGATAATGTAGGTCTTGATTTTATTAAAACTAAGTTGTATTAGAATTACTTAGAAAATACTTTTGTGCTGCGCTATAAATTATATAAATAATATTACCATTTATGTGCTTATAAAATTCACTTTATAATATCTTATGATACCTTTTATAAGTTAATTAAAGCGAAGTTTATACAATTAATACCTTAGAAAGCCATTTAAAGTGTGGTCCTGACCACAAAACTTAACTTTTTAGATATAGAATCCAAATTAGACAAGTATTGAACATTATTTTAATATTTAAAAATTATTTCTTTATTTTTCTCTTTACTTTTCTCAGTGCACAAATCCAAAATACAAAAGACAGGCAGCCACGTGTACTGGCACCTGGTTGTTAAATCCAAATTGTTAAGCTTCAGGTCACCGCAAGGCGAACTTTTGATGCTCTAGAATTTCATAGTTTTCGTAGTTTATTAGCGATTTTAACTTAGTTATCTAGATTGTGTTAGGCACTAAGAAGTTTTAAGGGGAAAGATCAAAAGGATAAAAGGAGGTGAACTGAAAATACTAAAGCATTTTATGAGTCTTTAAAAATTTAAACAGTATTTTATTCAAACTAGAAATTATTTAGTTTTATTTAATTAAAAAATATAAGATACATTCAAAAGCCCGTGGCATAATATTCCAGTGTTTGGTAAATATATTTTCCAAATTTTCATTTAATAAAAATTTAATTTAAATAAAATCTTTGCAATAATATCCATATCATATCAATGACAACTTCTAGACGATCTTAAAAACCAACAAAACAAAACGGCTTTGAGGGTTTTAGTCAATAGTTATCCTGTGATTTTTTTTTACACCACTTGACCAACTTCCCAGGACTTCGAAGCTGCCCCTGCCAAGTAGAACAAAAAAAGTCAACAACAGCTGTTATCCTACTCGAACAAAAACACTACAAATTCTGGGTGGTTCGACACGAATTGAAAACAAAAGGAAGGCAGAACCCTCGACAAGGACAAAGCCCAAAAAACTAGCAAAGCTTTTCAGTTGCAGACACAATCCCCTGACATCCGACTTTCTCCTTTTTGGTAGCAAAATGTCACGTTTCGACCGTAAAATGTGCTAAACCGTTAATACGACAAACAAACTATAACCGAAATCAAATGCCAAACAAAAAGCCGGAAGGAGTTTGGGGGTATTGGCCATCTCTTTTTCATTTCACTACCCTCGCGGCTCCTTTTTTATGCAAATTTCATATATACCA